TAGGTTCACTCCCTCTGGGGCACCTGGCATTGGCCCCTGTCGGCAGACAGGATACTGGGCCAGAAGGACCTTTGGGCTGACCCGGTATGGCCTTTCTTATGTTCTTATGAAATTTAAAACAAAAACAAAAAAAAACAGCTTGAGTCAGACACATGGATGGAAAAAGCCTAAATAATTAAAGTTTGGCAAAGTTATAAGCAACTGAAAATAGGGTCTGATAATGTGAAGTATCGACCAACTTTAATTAGAAGTGACACTACCAGCCCCGCCTATAATAAATAACTACAGTAACTCCTCACTTAACGTCCTCCTGCTTAACGTTGTTTCGAAGTTACGTCGCTGTTCCATTAGGGAACATACTCGGTTAAAGTTGTGCAATGCTCCCTTATAATGTCGTTTGGCTGACTTTACAAGGGAGCATTGCACAAGTTCCTCTTCTCCCCCTCCTCCTCCCTTCCTCCCTCCCAGCGCTTCCCCCACCGCCAAACAGCTGGGAGGGAGGGAGGAAGGGAGGGGGAGGAGGGGGAGAAGAGGAACTTGTGCAAACAGTTGCTTATAACTTAGGACTTTCTGGGAGGGAGAGAGGGAGGAAGGGAGCGATAAAACTGCCCCCCCATCCCTGGCAGGCAGGGCCACCTGGAACGCAGGGGCTTTAGGGGCTGCAGGGCCCTGGGCTAAGGAGGTCCCGGGGCCCTGGCCTGCAGCTCTAAAGCCTCTTTTGGAATGCAGCCCTGCGAGCGCCGGTTCTCTCCGGACGGCTTTGAAGGGGAAAGCGCCGCTTCTCTCCGGCCGCTGGCTGCGTGGCTGCCCCTGCTCCTCCTGAGTCCTCCAGCCCGTGCTCGCAGGACCACATTCCGAAAGGGGCTTTAGAGCTGCAGGCCAGGGTCCCGGGGCCCCCTTATCCCAGGGCCCTGCAGCCCCTAAAGCCCCTGCATTCCGGGTGGCCCTGTATGCTGGGGGGGGGGGCAGCTCCCAGAATCGCGGCCATGGGGGCAGTGCAGCACTGCGCAGAGCCACCTGCACACCCCCTGCACCAAACGGGAGCTGCCCCAGCTAAGTGTTCTGCACCTCCTGCCTGCCCCAGCCCTGAGCCTCCTCCTGCATCCCCACCCAGAGTGCCCTCCGGCACCCTAACTCCCTCCCAGATCCCGCACCCCACCCTGAGTGCCCTCCCGCACCCTAACTCCCTCCCAGACCCTGCACCCCCAGCCCTGAGCCCCAGGGGTAAGCCAGGGGCACCTCCCCGCCACAGTACAGTACAGTATATAATACCTTTTGTCTGCCCCCAAAAAATTTCCTTGGAACCTAACCCCCTGCATTTACATTAAAACTTATGGGAAAACTGCATTCGTTTCACATCGTTTCACTTAAAGTTGCATTTTTCAGGAACATAACTACAACGTTAAGTGAGGAGTTACCGTAATATCGTTGCTAAAATCTTTCCAAGTAGCTTTTTCTCATTTATGGTTAGTTAGTTTTTTTTATTTT